AAGCCAAGGAGAGAGGCCTCAGAAGAAACCAACCCTGATGACACCTTAACCTCAGACTTCCAGCTTCCGGAACAGTGAGAAAATAAATTTCTGTTGTTTAAGCCCCTCAGTTTGTGGTATTTTTTTATGGCAGCCCTAGCAAACTAATCAAGATGGTATATTCAACAAGAAAGGCAATGAAACAAGGTCCTGTAAAGTTTTCTGAAATGATTGGGTTGAGTAAGGGTGTTAAAGGATGGAGTTACTGAAAACTGTTATCTTTACCCAATATAAAGATGAAGATAATGACCTTGCTTTTGTTTATTTGTTTATTGTTTGTTTTTAGAGAAGGAGGGAGGGAAGATGTAGATTTGCCAGAACAGTTACAGAGAAAAAAGCCCCCAGCCCCAATCACCCTGGTGGCCTACAGGCTGGGGGCTCCAGCAGGAGGTGACTCGTGCTCTAGGGCTTAGGGGACCATGGTTTGGTTAGAGAGGGCCACCAACCAATGGGCCCTGGCTGCAGGTCACCTCTGAAATAATACAAGGGAGGCATGTATGGGAGTGATGGAAGGTCTGTCTAGGGAAGGAGGCATTTTAGGCTGAGATTGCTTTTAGGATTTCTGACCCTTCCTTCAGATTCCCCTTGGAGTCAACTGAGTCCCCTCAAGCTGGAGCCCTGCAGAAGACCAGGGGGTGTGCTTCACAGAGGCCATGGGTTGTGCACAGTGCCCGAGGCCTGGCACCTTTGAGCCAAACCCTTAAATATCATCACAAACCAAAGGCAAAGAGTTTCCACAATGTACTTTTGTGAATATACTATTTGTGTGACCTTGGACAAGTGACAGAATGTCTCTGGGTCTGAGACTTCCCGCAGGAGCAGCTAACTAGCTCTGCTTGGCTCTGAGATAAGATAGAAGCTGACTTCACTGCTGCCTGCAGGTGGTTGATTCTTTCAACTCAGGCCAGGCAGGAGGATTGTGCTGTGGAAGCAGGAGAGGCAGCACTAAGGGCTAAATCAAGAGAAGGTAGACTCCCTGCTGGCCACTCCCCACTCTCCCTGAGCCTTCAGTGCTTCTCCAAAGTCTTGGCCAGGGTTAGAAGAGATGACTTGGGCCTCTAGGCCCTCGTTTCTCAGTGTGGTCCTGGGACCAGCAGCATGACATTACCTGGGAGCTTGCAGAAACGCCAAATCTCTGAGCCCACATCAAACCTGTGGCCTCAGAACTGCATTTTGACAAGGTTCTCAGGTGATGTGTGTGCCCATCAGAGTTTGAGAAGTGCTACATTTGCAGGGTGGGTACCATTCCAGGTTTAGCTGTCTCTCACTAGTGGTGGGCCTCAGGACTCACCTGTGCTTCCAGCTTTTCAGGTAGCAGGTGTTAACCACCTCCTTACACCTCCACGGCCTTTCATCCTTAGAGCTCCCATCTTTCTCCTCCCCAGGGAGAGTTCCAGTCAGGTTTTTAGTCTCCCTAACAGCTCTGTATTTCAGGGCCAGGCCACCTTCTATTTCCTTCACATCTTCCTGTAGAGCAGTGGAGCTCCATGTGCAATCTCCACATCGACAGCAGCATTGCCAGGGAGTTTGTTAGAAATGTACATTCTCGGGTCCTACCCTGCACTCCAGAATCAGAAACTCTGCAGTGGGGCCCAGCAACCTGTGTGGAACAAGCCACCAGGAGGTGCCAATGCCAGGATATAGTGTGAGAGCCCTGAGGGCCTTGTGTCAGTGAGGTTTCACAGAACCAGCATGGCACCATCTAGGAACTTGTGAGAAATGCAGAATCTTGGGCCCCAGTCAGGACTTGCAGATTGGTGAGCACATTCAAATTTGAGGAGCATTGCTCCAGGGCAAGAACAGAGCACTGGCTCTGGAGGAAAGGACAGATGTACCAAGGCAGGCGTGAAGCTTGTAGACTGGGTGTACGCAGTGGAAGGCATGGCTTCCTGGAGAACAGGGGTAGGCCTCACAGGAGTGGGGCAAAGGATGGAAATGTAAGCTTAATGCAGGAGGAGCTGAATCCTCCAGTTTTGAAGAGCCAGAGAGGAACTGACCTTTCTCAGGTGGAAGTGAACTGTGTAGGTCAGTCATGCTTAGACCAATGCAAGGTCAGGGCCTGAGCCTGCGGAAGCTCAGGTTCTTGCCAGATTAAGGCTCCCACTAGGGTGGGAAGCAGTACAAATCCCTTCCAAATCCCTTCCAAAGGCAGGGGACACTTATTTGGCTTTAATCCAGAGAGAAAGGAAGGGAAACAAAGGTTGACACCTGACACTTCTCTGAAAGAACCCTCTGTGAGGGTTAGACTCAGTTATTTAAAATTGATTTAAAATTTTTTTCAGTAAAAATTCCTTTAGCACAACTCATAGTAGTTGGAAGTAACAGGAAGAAAACATGGTGGCTGAGAAAGATACAGATGTGTATCATTCACTTTGGCCCTCCAAATACCTATGCATTTAATGATTGAAGCCTTCTCAGTGGGCTATTTTTGAGAAAGTATGATTGGCAGATAATGAATAGTTTATTTTTAAATAATTAGAAATATGGTCAAAAGGGCTGAATGAAAATAGTCCTAGAAATTTTTATGTTAATGATTAACTTTGAGTAATGCTTTTGAGTCTTTGTATATGTCATTTGTTTTAATAGTTTTGTGAATGATGGGGTTTCCAGATGTTTTTATCTTTTCATTTTTAATGCAAAGTTGATCCTCTGTTTAGATATTGAAGGATACTGGCATTTGCTAAGGTATTAATAAATATTATGATTTCAACCACTGTCATTTTTTATGATTATTTTCTGTTGTTGGTAAATTACAGATGCAGAAGAAAACCTCTGTGAAGGAAAACTGAGAGCTGGTACTTCACACTTGCGAAGAAGAAAACATGAAGAATGAGTTGAAACCCTCTGACAAAGGAAAGTGGCCTATTGACCTTACGGTGTTGAATTTCAATCCAAAGAGTGATTGTTACCAGTTCTCACAGTTTATAACCTGAGTTTGTGTTGAGGGCGGGGATGGGCATAAAGTAGATAATTTAGTTTGTTAAGTCTCATCTTAATCAAGAAAATCCTCTATTTCAAAATCCAGAACAGAAAAAAGCTTCCAGAATTCAAGGACTGTTTTCCTCTGCTGCAGAAGTGACTTTGCCAGGTACTTGTGGAAAAAAATGAAAAGGCAGCAGAGAACAGCTGGCGTGTGACTGGGAGTAAGGCTGAGGCAGGATCAGGAGTGGGTGTGTTAAACATTGGCCACCACAAGCAGTGAATGCGCCACTTTGCTCAGATTAACCCCCAAAATGAAGCTGCCAACATGGGGTGCACAATGGTGAAACACAACTGCAAACTTCAAGGAAGATGCTCCTTTTAGCTCCTGTTTAATATTAGTCAGATATTAAACACTTATAAACTTTTAATACAACAAAGCAAGTACATGCAAAGTTACAAATATAGAAAATATAAAGCACATGCATATTTCAAATACCACTGTGTATTCTTATACAAAACTATTCAGTGCACATTGTAAGCCTAAGGACCACACAAAAGGGTTTCCTTTAAGTGTTATTAAGTATTTAGTACCTTACAAAAACAGGTAATGCATTAGATAGTTCAGATGTTAATCGCTCTAACCAAAATTTCTAAGTTTGTCATATGCAATATATATATATGTATATATATATATATATATAAATTTTTTTTTTTTTTACATAGGATACCCACAAAGTGCAAGCCAGTAATAACAGTGCAGAATAGTAATGTATATCTGCTAGGTGACAATATTGAACAACCCAGGGAATACTTTTACCTTACTTAAATAATGGTAACAGAATTTCTTTTTCCACTTTGAATGGATCATATTCCTACCATCTCTAACCTATTTTTTTTTTTTTGGAATGCCTCCCTATTCTTTGATTCAAAAGCCAATTCCAGAAACTAAGGACCTAATTCTATTTTTTGACAATTATGAGACAGCAGTAAAGAAATGAAAGCATTTCTTTTCTTTGTACATTAATTGTTTTCTTCATAACATAATCCTCTATATTTGCTGTTACATTCTTACCAGTCCAACACCAGCACTGGCCCAGGAAGGATTCAATCAAATGAATACCGTGAAAAAAAAAAAATGAATACCGTGTTTTTTATAGCTGCAGTTTCCTCTATGTTAAAATCTCCTGGCTTCATCCAAACAATGTTAAAATCATTCTGCTTTCCAGGTAAACAAACAAAAGAGATTTGCTCTCAGTGTCCAGAAGGTAGTTTAATTAAAGTACCTTCATTATCTATAGTTTATATTAATAAAGAAAAGAATACCACATAAAGGTGCTTTAACCATCCAAAATGGGAGGCTGTCTCCGAGGGCACCTCTTCCATATGTTGGAAATTTTTAGTCTCAGAAGCCTTTCATATTATGTTAGTTATGTTCATTCCCTGTGAAAATGTCCTCTGCCCAGAAGTCTAGTGTTGCACGAATATCCATTCTTGATGCAATAGCTGCTGTGTAACCCGTACTGCAAAATGCAAAACATCCTTACAGTTCTCTGCAGACACAGGACACATGCTTTCCACCGGGTTGGGCCTGGGCCCACAAGCTAAGGATTTCTAGTTTCGTTTTTTGAATGAATATTATGCGGCCTCCTTCCAGATTTGGCAGAAATGCTGTCTGAACAGGGAAATGCAGTCAGGTTTTCTTAAAACAAATGAGGAAATTGCTATAAAATCACTGCTAAGATGGGGCATTAGTGTACTGAGCTCTAGCTGGAGAAGGAGCTGGAGGTATTTAGGCAAAGGTATCTGAAAACTGCTTTGAGAATTGTTTTAGCCTCAATCTGTTGCACTAGACAAAACATAAGCCTAGATCAACCATTTATTATTTGCTGTTACACTTTTACCAGCTCAGCACTAGCGTTGGCCTATGAAGGATTAAATCAAATAGGGCTTGAATAAATAGCATTTCAGATCTACTTTCCATTTCCCAGTGCTGTAAGTGCTAAGGGTATTAACCTATAGGTGACGAACAGAGAAGCAAGAATGAGACACCACCACTAAAGGGCTGCAGGTAGATACCCCCTCCTCCAACCTGGTGATGATTAAGATGATGAAAACAGGAAGGCCTTCCTCATCCCACTAGGAGGAAAATGAGGAAAGAGATGAGGAGGATCACAGGAGGGGAGGAGAAGAGGATCACACTTGCCCCTCTTTGGTAATAAGCCTGGTATTCTCTCTGGTACTGGGTGATGCACATCTGCTCCACCACACGCTCCATCATCTTGATGTCCGTCTCAGTGAAGTTTTCCCCCTTGGTGGTGGTGGTAGTAACCGTGTGCTGCTTGACTGTGATGTTGACACAGTCATGCACAAAGCTGTTCTGGTTGTTATACTGATCCACTGGCCTGTAGTATACCTGGTTGGGGTAACGGTACATGTTTTCACGATAGTAACGGTCCTCATAGTCACTGCCAAAATGTATAAGGGGCCTGCTCGTGGCACTCCCCAGCATGTAGCCGCCAAGGCCCCCTACCACCGCCCCAGCTGCAGCAGCTCCTGCTACATGTTTCATGTTGGTTTTCGGCTTACTGGGCTTCCACTGATTGTGGGTGCCACCACCTTGACCCCAGCCTCCACCACCATGGGGCTGTCCCCAGCCACCACCGTGGGGCTGACCCCAGCCACCACCGTGGGGCTGTCCCCAGCCACCACCGTGGGGCTGACCCCAGCCTCCCCCTCCCTGGGGTGGATAGCGGTTGCCTCCAGGACTGCCCTGTCCTGGGTATCGGCTCCCCCCAGTGTTCCATCCTCCTCCAGTCTTTGGTCGCTTCTTGCAGAAGCCCATGTCACTCCATGTGGCCACAAAGAGAACCAGGATCCAATTGGCTATGTGGCTTTTCACCATGATGACTTATCTGCAAAAATAAAGAGGGTGTCAGCATTGTGTGTTTATGTTGAAAACACTTAACGTCTGCAGCATAATGACTGCATAGCAGTGGCATCAGCTATAAATGTTCTTGGTCATAAATGTTCTTCACATTCCATGTCTGTTTTGCAACACTTACAGCAAAAGTAATTGTAGGTAAAGGGTTAACACAGCTCTTTCTCCTTCTCTCAGGGCAAATTTGACCTTAGGATAATTTCTGGCTCTGTTTCCTAGAAACTTGATAAAGGTGGAATGCCAGCAACATTGCTTATGATAAAAATAACCTCTGGTTGATACATTGTATCTAAACTGGAAGAAACTATAAACACCTGATGGGTTTGCCATAGCTTTGAGCTTCTCTGAAGTAGTGATTTGGGCTGTTATGAGGGATATGAGCTCCTGGAACCTCCCGAGACCCTGGCATGGCCCCTATGGAAGTGATTCTAATGTCCAGTTAGGAACACTCCCAGGTAGGTGCTGAAATCATTAAATCATTTTCTAAATAGCTGGCTCATGTCCTCTTTCCTCCCAAAGGAATGTAAGCTGGAAATGTCTCTTGTTCGCTGCTGTCTCCTCAGGGCCTGGCACAGAGCATATACACAATAGATACCTGTTAAGTGAAGGAATTAATATCCTCTGAACATATAAATGCCAACAAGAATTTCCTCAAAGAAATTCTTAATACAATAAATTTTTGGAAACAGGAAATGTGCAAGATTCTGCAAGCCCACCTATAAATTCATTTTTCTCTCTATAGACAGAAACAAATGGGGCTGTTCAAAATGTACGTAAGGAAGGCTGTGTTCACAAGATTTGCAGTCACTCACTCACTGAATGAGTCTTAGTTCAGCATTTAATGGTTCGTGAGTGACTTATTTTCTCCTAATTTTTGGTAGAAAAGACACATATCTTATATGAAAGGGCTAGCACGGCTTAGGAATAAACAAAGTATCCTGCATGATAACTTATGAACCTTTGCAGAATGTACATTCATCAATTAAAAACCTCCTTTCAGATTGAAAACCTCATTTACCCTGGGTGCTTGGTTCCAAGAGCAGAGATTAAAGACATATAGTAGAATGATCATTAGTTTCTACTGTACCCCATGTCAAACCATATGCTCCAAAATACCATGTGCCACAAAACCAAAAATGGCATATGTTGTAATGCTGATAGTAGTCTTATCCCCAGCACTGGGACACCTTCAAATAAAAATGGCATCTAATACTATAAAATTATTTTTCATAACCTTCAGAACTAAAGACTAAATTGGATAATATTCAGAGGAAGACTGATTAAACAAATAAATGAATTAAAATCCTGTTTGTTTCTACTATCATTATTGAAATGTCTTGGTGTAAATAAAAATATATTTGAAAGTTATAAGCCCAGTTAAACTGCTCAGAATATGCCAGTTAGGATTTTTGGAGGCTCTTTTGTGTAAGGTCAGAGGGACAGGGTCCTGGGATATGCTGACTGGCCTCAATCTCGCATCCACATCTCCTGGCACTCAGTCTTCTGCAGGTCTGCTTCCCTGATCTATTTTCCATTTGCTAATGGGGCTCAGCTCTTGGCTTCCAGGCTGCTCACAATTCTGCTCAAACACCTCAGGGAATTCTGGAAAGCTTGGTGTTTGACGTGGAAGATGAAAGACTGGAAGAATCGAGGTGGCACCCAGATTTCTGGATTGAGCAATTGTGTGGACAGAACACAGAAGGTGGAGCAAGTCTGGAGGGAGACAAATGTGGTGTGTGGCTTTGGCAATGCCATTGTCAAGCTACAATGCCATTATCAAGCTGCCTACTGGGACAAGAGATACCAGTAGGCAGTTAGCTTGGGGAGTCTGGAGCTGAAGAATGACCATGGACTGGAGATACAGGTAATAGGGCATAAGGGCCATGGGCATATGTTGCTGATCAGTACTTTAAAACTGAATATTAAAGTTGGATGATCATAAACTATATTAAGACAAGATCATTTTAAAATCAGTTGAGAACAACAATAGCAACATTTAATAATAAAAAGCATAAAAAATAACAACTACATTTTGAAGCAGAGAATCATTTCTAAGGATAAGGACTCAAAACTTAATGAGACCTTGGAGAATCTTTCTGTTTGTGATAAAATAAGAAGATCTTATATTATTTAATCCAAACTTCTCACTCTACAAATTAGGCCACCAAGATTCAAAAAAGTCAAGTGACATATCTGTGATTACAGTGTTCATTAGTGAAATTGCTAGGAATAGAGACTAGGTTTCTGAATGTCTGGCTGTGCTACGACACTTCATATAAGATGCTCTCAGAGAACGGTCAGGTTGTGGCCTAACGCTCTGGCATATTTCAAGACATTAAGTATTTGACAACAGTCAATACCCATTTATCACTAAGAAAAATACTCTTAGTAGACTAGGAATAGGAGGTAACTTCCTTAACTTAATAAAGATTATATAACTAAAACAGCAAACACAATAAGTAAGTTTTGAAAGTAGTCCCTTTAAGATCAGAAACAAGACAAGGATGTATACTGCCACAGGACTGGAAGTCCTTCCAATGCCATATGCAAAGATAAAGAAGTAACTGGTGCAAGAACTCCAAGGAAAGAGCTCCAGCTGACATTATGTGGAATTAATGTGATCATAAACATGGAAAATTCAACAGACTCAACAGAGGTAACACGAGACAACTAGAGTTCAGCAAGGCTGTGGGATACAAGATTGGCCTACAAAAATCAGCATTTCTCTACACCAGCAATAATCAACTAGAAAAGAATTAATAAGATAGTAATAATTTCAACCCAAACTATAAAGTATCTAGGATTGACTTAAGACTGGGGAAAAAAAAATTCAACATTAGTAAAGAACAAAGAAGATGATCTGTAAACATGGAAAGGTCTTGGTTGGAACAACTTAGTACTATAAAGATGTCAATTATCCCCAAATGAACTTATAATAATAAAATGACAATCAAAATTCCACCTGGATTTTTTGAGGAATTCAATAAACCCACAAGGGGTAAGAAATGTCCACAGGTAGCAAACTCAACCTTAAAAAAGAAGAGAAAAGAGGAGAGAATCTACTGTTATCAGACATTAAATCCTATTACAAAGCCATAGTAATAAATATGGTAACAGTCTAGAAACGGACCTACAGATCAAAGGAAGCAGAATAGCAAGTTCAGATATAAACCCATGTATATATTCTTTAGTACAAACCTGATAAATGATAAATCGGACACCACAAATCAATGGAGAAAGAAACGTTTGTTTAGCAGATGCTTCTGGGAAACTGGAGGAAAATAAAACTAGGACCCTAACACCACATGCAAAAGCAGACTCTAGAGACCTGTGAAAAGTAAAAGTTTTATGAATTAAAAATCTTTGTGGGATGGATTGCCTTTTTATTAAATTATAAAAACAGACGTTGGGCTTCCCTGGTGGCGCAGTGGTTGAGAGTCCGCCTGCCAATGCAGGGGACACAGGCTCGTGCCCCGGTCCGGGAAGATCCCACATGCCGCGGAGTGGCTGGGCCCGTGAGCCATGGCTGCTGAGCCTGCGCGTCCGGAGCCTGTGCTCCGCAACGGGAGAGGCCACAACAGTGAGAGGCCCGCGTACCGAAAAAAAAAACAAAAAAAAAACAGATGTTAGAATCAATGCATTAAACAAATATTTATGGAACAGCTAGTACGTGCCAGTTTTTAAAGAAATAGAAAACTTGACAATAAACCATAGGAGAAATGGAGAAAAAAGTTACTGTACAACAGCCATTGATTAGTTTAACAAATATTTGTTGTCTTCTAAGGGTCTAGCATTGTGCTGTGGCTGAGGACACAGTGGTGAGTAAGATGTTTAGTTTGTGGGTTCAAGCACTAAGGAAGATAAGTATCTGTAACCTGAAAGACAGTGGGAAGCCATTAAAGGGTCTTAGGAGAATAACATCACAGGATCTTTTTCTTTTTTTTTTTTTAACAAAGTTCGCCCTGTTGTGTAAGTAGAAAATTTGGGGGGCAAGAAAGGAAATGGTGATACCACTTATAAAACGATTGAAGGAAGATGGTGGTGTGGCCTGGGACTGTGCCAATGCAGTTGAGGAGCTGTGAAAAAATGGGACGTATTTTGCAGAAAGAACCAATTAAGCAGATAGAGTGGATGGAGGAGTGAGAGTTGATAAGGTTTGTGGCTTTCATAGCCAGGCAGATGGTGGTGATGCCATCTATTGAAACAGAGGAAACTGATGGAGGGCCATGCTTGTGAGAGAAAATAAAGTTTTAGTTTGGACATACTAACTTTGCTACATCTATGAGCCATTCAAGTGGGAGTATCAATTCAGGCAATTGTTATAAGAATCTGGAACTCAGCAGAGATAAACACTTGGGCAGCTTCACCTGAGAAGTGCTGTTAATAGCCAAGGGAATAAAGGATCGAGATTCAAACTCCAGTATTCTGAGTGAAGGGCTCACACTCTTAGCTATCCAACCTCCAGCAACATGGGTGCCAAAATCCAAAATAAAATACCACCAAGCTGATTTTGACAGTTTAGTAAAAGAAGAATACACTGTGACCAATAAGGATTATTTAGGAATACAAGGATGGCTTAAAATCGCAAAATCAATTAACCTATTAGTAGGTTAAGGAGAAAACAACACAAAGATTCTCTGATGTTTAAAGTTTTCAATTAAAATCTACATACATTCCTGATTTTTTAAGGTTAAGCTGTTGAAAAAATTTCCATAGAACTAAAGTAATCCCTTTCCATCATCAAGAACAGCTATCACAGACACACAGCCCACACCCTACCTTAACTTAAAGAGGAAAGGCATTCTCCTTAATATAATGAACAAGACAAGAATGCAAGCAATTGCTGCTATTTTAGACTGTTATGGAGGTTCTAGCCAGGTATGATTTACTTTTTTTTTTTTTTTTGGCCATACGCGGGCCTCTCACTGTTGTGGCCTCTCCTGTTGCGGAGCACAGACTCCGGACACGTAGGCTCCGCGGCCATGGCTCACGGGCCCAGCCGCTCCGCGGCATGTGGGATCTTTCCAGCCCGGGGCACGAACCCGTGTACCCTGCATCGGCAGGCAGACTCTCAACCACTGCGCCACCAGGGAAGCCCTTTTCTTTTTTTTTTTAATTAATTTATTTTATTTTTGGTTGCATTGGGTCTTCGTTGCTGTGTGCGGGCTTTCTCTAGTTGTGGCAAGCAGGGGCTATTCTTCGTTGCGGTGCGTGGGCTTCTCATTGCGGTGGCTTCTCTTGCTGCGGAGCACAGGCTCTAGGTGCACGGGCTTCAGTAGTTGTGGCTTGCAGGTTCTAGAGCTCAGGCTCAGTAGTTGTGGTGCACGGGCTTAGTTGCTCCGCGGCATGTGGGAGCTTCCTGGACCAGGGCTCGAACCCTTGTCCCCTGCACTAGCAGGCAGATTCTTAACCACTGCACCACCAGGGAAGTCCCAGGTATGATTTTCTATCTGGAAAATCCAGGAAAATCATCCAAAATTGTGTCCTAGAATAAATAAGTGAGTTTATTAAGGTGGCAGTTTTTGAAATCAACATATAGAAAAGAGTGAATACTCAAATCACTTGTAATTATTTAGAAGATTTAGTGTGAAAAAAAAAATCCCACTCATAGTGGCAACAAAATATTCAAAATATCTAAGATTTAACCTAAAAATAAATAGACCTTTTAGGAAGAAAGCTGGAAGACTGGATAAAAAGAGAAAGACAGATAATGTTTTCGGTTGGGAAAATCAAGACTGAAAGATACCAATTCACCTCCAAATAATCATAACGTCAATGCAATTTCAGTCCTAATTTAAAGAGGATTTTAAGGGATATGATGAAATTATACTCAAAATTAAGAAGACTAAAGAAATTATTGAACAGGAAGAAAATCTAGGGTATACTTGGCCTGCCAGGTACCAGAATGCATTGCAAAACTAAAATAAATAAGATCATGTGGCATTAGTGCATGAGCAGAATGGCAGAGCGATGGAACTAGAGAGAAGGAACAAAAAAAAGATCCATATATTATGCCATTCATCCTATTCCCATGGGGAATACACGGGACTGAGAATCAGAGCCAGGAGGAACTTGTCCAGTGGTCATGTGCCAGGGGCCAAACTTCTGATACTTAAAACATGTTACACCCTTGACACTTGATTGGTTAAATTGGGAAGTGGCACACCAAATAGTCCCCCTACCCCCCACTGCCCCGGAAAAATTTCCTGTCTTTCCTGAGCTAAGTGGAAGTCATGTGTCATATTTTTATCTTTTGAGGTCATTGCCCCTTAAAGAGCCTAATGCAAGCTACTCAAAATTTTACAAACCGCTCTGGGGTGGGGGTTTTTCACTGGCACTGAGGCCTAGCCCTGGACTGAATAGGGCAAAGGGCCTGAACCTGATCCATCCTCAGAATTATGTGAACAGCTTGAAAAAAAAAGCAACATTGCTAGAGCCTACCCCATACCCCAGGAGAATATGGTTAGAAGAAAAAGGATGAACAAACAGAAAAAATTCTCCCAAATGTAAGAATTACTACACATGCTATTCACTCAAGGATTATTTTGCTGCAGCCATCACAGCTTTAGATACAGGCATGTTTTGAATGTTTCACATGCAGCATTTCACAACTGATAAAAATGGCTGCCTTGGAAATAAGATCCGAAAAGAGAGACTGGAATAGATAAATTAAAACTACAGCTTAGAAAAACTGTCACCTCATAAAACCTTTTGTCAGTGTTAATTTGGTGCAGAAATGTTTGTAATGTTACTGCTTTTATTATACTATTTTTAAAATGGTTGCTTCCTTACATAACTCAGAATGATTCTAGAGAAAGCCCTTTCCCTGCAAAATCAAGATGATTTTACAAGAAAGGATGATATGATAGGTGTGGGTTACACATATATAGATCCAAGTTGCCTCCAGAGCAAGGATTTGTGATCACAGCTTTTCGAGGACCTTATCTTCTGTGACAGTTGGGAACTTTCAACCATCACAAGACCAAAGGGATTCCACAGGGTACGTACATCTGCTTTGGCTCAGCTAAGTTGGATTTGTGTCCCTGGGAAGACAGAATGCTTCGGCTTCGCTGAAACTGTTCAGTTTTCAAATATATTCAGGAGTCCCTAAAAAAAAAAAAAAAAAAAAAAAAAAAAAAAAAAAAAAAAAAAAAAAAAAATATAAAAAAAAATAAAAAAAATTTAACAAAAAAAAAAAAAACAAAAGAAAAAACTAGAATTGATAAATAAATCTAAGAACTGATTCTTTAAAAGAAAAACCCAATATTAAATTACTAAACCCTTATATATCTACTCAAGGAAAAAAACAAGACAATATTTGAAAAAAAGAAATGAAGTCAGCTCAAAAAAGCAGCAGCAAACATGACATTGAGCTCTCCCTCTCCCACACACAGAAAGCTGTGGGTCCATTTCCTTAAAAAAATTAACTATGAACTATTTTAAAGATGTTATTTAGAAAAGCAATATATCAACAAAAAAAGAAAATTAAAATAAAGTGTATTTCTATTAAAATTCATTTTTATTCAGATTTTTCACATATACATTAATAAACTGCATCTGAGTAAGTAGATGCAGTTTAGTAATCTGTACTTTGACTTGTCAGTTTTTTCCAATATATCGCAGACAGGCTCCAAAATCATGACTTGATGGTTACACAATGTTCCTTTCAGTTAATGTGTCATGATTTTCTTAGCTGCTGCCCTGCTGTTATACACTTAGGTTGCTTCTCCGTTGGGTTTAACTTTAGATCATTCTGAATGTGTGTGCATATGGCGCTTTTTTTCCCTTTCCTGTTGTTTCTTCCATTGCAAGTAAATTCCCAGGAGTGGGGTTTCTGGGTCTTGGCTTAAATGCATCATCAGATTGCCTTTCACAAATTTCATACAGATACACAATGTCCCCAGTGCAGTGTGACTAGGAAAAGAATAAAGGTATACATACCAAAGGTCAGTTTTACACGAACAGTTAATCTTGGCAAACTCCTGAAATAGGTATAATTTCCTCTAGTTTATGAATGAACAAAAGGAGGATGAGGAAATTAGGTAACTGGTCCCAAGCTGTGAAATGATTAGTTGCAGAGCCATCTTTCTAACCCCAAAGCCCTGTCACCTCCCAGGATAACTGAATATGCAAATTTCTAGGCAACCTTCCAGCAGTGGTTGCTGTTACTGTTGTTTTTGCTAATAGCTGCAAAATGATAATCCAGACTGACTTCAATTTGCGTTGTATTCTATAAACGATTCATCATTTCACCATTTATCTTTTATAATCTCGATATTCTCCTTTCACAAGTATGAAAAATTTGTGTCAGATAAAAACCATATACAAATCACATTCTAGCTCTGCTTTCTTTCTCTCTCTGGTTAGTTCTTTTTCATTGTAAGAGCTCCTCAGTGTTTGGGTAGGTAAAATTGTTCCTTTTCATTGGTGATATTTTTTTTCTTCTTCAAATCTGAGAGAGCTGTTGATTTTTCCAGAGGTCTGACATTTTTATTCAATTTTCTGTTCCTATTTTTTCTGATAATTTGATTTGTGAAAATCTTTAATTCTATTCTACCTGGATTTTTTTTGCAAGGAAAAGGGAAACAGTTCAAATGTTCAGCATGCTGGGAACTGCTTATTAAACCGCGATTGCTCTAAGTACAGGAAAATAACTCGGCCATGAGATGAGGATAATCATGATCAGCGAGGTGAAACTGCACTGTGTTGTGTACGAACTGGAGAAGAGGAAACTGAAAAACAGAAGGCAGTGGCTTTGAGATGGTGAGGGTGGATGTGATGGTGGTGGGCTTATGATTTAAAAAAATCTATTTGCTACTGCTGATACAAATAGAAAAGGATAAAAACGAAAAAGGACTGCAAAAATGGACTTCTCCCCGTTGTTCAATAATCAAACGTGAAGGTGCCACCCATACTAGCGGAGGAATGTGGTTCTCCGAGGGGAGCTGCCCGGCCCTGATCCCTGCTCTCGGAGTCCCCCTGATGGCCGAGTTCTCTCCTTCCAGAGGGACAGTCGAGACGGCGAAAAGCAAAGCCTGTGAGTCCACCACACCAGAGCTCGCAGGAGACACTCTGCCGCCAGCACCTGGACATCTCAGGCCCGGGAGTGAGGGCGGGGTCGCCCCAAGACTCCGCCCGCCGAGGCCGGAAGCCCGGCTCACGCCAGCCTGTGCCGGTCCCCGGGGGTGCCAGAGACCCGCCCGCTGCTGCGTCCCAGACACCGCCCGGCCGCGTGATGGCAGGCGGGGCCTCCTCTGGGGAGGAGGGCGGCGGCGGCGGCTAGGGCGGGGGTGGGCCCCCCCGGACGCCCCGGGAGTCTTCCTTGCCGAGGCCCTGGACCCGGGTGGGCGGCCGCATCCCCTCTGGGTATCGGGAGGGCCCCGACCCGCGCCTCTCCCTGGTCCTCCTCGCTGAGCGCCCCAGCGGAGCCCCTTTGTGGCCTTCGTTGGGTTCCGCGCGCCCATTCCCCGGACCTGTGGCCCCCTTGCCGGCGCTACTCGCCCATCCCACTCCCGCCGTGGATGTGTCTGGGAGGGGGCCAGACTCCTCGACACTACCCACATCCCTCCAGAGGGACCCCGGCCAGCCGCGGCCCCCGCCCCCATTCCGAGTAAATGGAGCTCGCCTAACCAGGAGGGCAAAACCAAGCCACGGCGTCCGAAAACCAACGGGCTCGCTGGGTAGGCCTGACGCGTTGCGCGCCCTCCGGAAGCTCCCCGCCCTCCTCACTGTCAAGGTCGGCCTCCCGCCCGGACCCGGCCGTGCGCCCTCGCCCCTCGGCCCCAAGGCAGGGGTTCTGACTGCCGGCCTCTGCGCCCACGGCCCCAGCTGGGAGGTTAAAGGGCGATGCGGCTGTTTACCTGCCTCTGCGGGAGAGAAGAACCTCGCAGCTCGGCGGCTGTCAAAGACTGGCGGCGAGGGCAAGCGTCAGCGGGGGGCAGAGGAGGAGATGCGGGGGCGGGGCCCGGAGGCGGCTGCCCGCGCCCGGGGTTTGCGCGCAGAGGCTCAGCACCGCCAAGCAGGCCCCTGAATCTGAGTCCCTGGGAAAAACGGGTTGGGATTCGCTTAGACGCTTGCGTCAACTAATATCGCCTACCCGGCTGGCTCGTCACTCCTTGAAGTTGCTTATTGACTATAAAAATCATCTTTAAAGGAAAATTCGGCCCAAAGCCCCAGCTCCACGTTACGTAATGGAGAACACGAGAAAATGAAAGATTAGGGAATGAGAAAGCAATTTCTGGAACTTTGGTAACCAGAAATTTCTAAAGAGGAAGAAAATTCTGCTACACTGGATTGAGCCGTTTGTGAATTTACACATATATCCTTAAAATTTGAGGCCTAGAAAGGACATTAGCCATTACCTGTTCCTTCATTTACTCAGTTCTTGCTCATTATATGCAAAAGAGATGATTTAGATTATGATATTCACAAATGAGGAAAATGCCCTCCATATAACCATATAACAAGTCCACTCTGGACATTACCTGAGGTTTCTTGTATAAAACATTGTGTATTCTTGATCATTATTCCTGCCAAGAAATTAGGTAGGGGTTTGTCTCATGTGAAGGATGGCAAATGATAGAAGACAGGCGTTAGGGTTAGGGGGATCATATACATTATTACCCAAATTGGGGCGCTTTTGAGAGTACCAATATTAATTAAGCCGGGTCAATAGGCATAAACCTGGGAAAAATGAGACATCTAGTTCCCTTGTTATGGGCAAGAGGCTCCACTATGCTTGTAAGGAAAGAGGTTTAAAAATATTGAGACACCCATTGGAAACAGGATTTGGTTTAAATACTTGTATGCCAGGGCGGCTCACTCAAGTGGGAGGGGACAAGTGAGGGAGGGGAGAAGCCAGGAGGATTGTGTAGAGTGGAGCGATGTGAAACAGCACTGGGGTGATGCTCATATGAATGTGGGTCTGAAAGGTCTGCTTGGGAAGGGGAAATGAGAGGTAAAACGTGACCATGGGATGGAGATGATTCAGTAACAGAACTGGATTGTGGCCAGTTAGAAATGAGTGTTAGGCAGCAATACCAGGGCAGTTTTCTGTCCAATCAGTCTTACATAATGATTAGGTTGACAGTGCTTTTAGAGCCTTACCTTCTTTCCTCAGAGATGGCTTATTGTGCGGTGAATTGGGGGCAGTGAAGCATCTCTTTGAGTCTTGAGCTGGGGTGGGGCTGGGAGTGGCTGACCAGATCAGACTGGGCAAGGGGCTGACTTTCCCCTGCCAGGAGGGGCCCAGTAAAGCTTGGTTAGAAGATGCCAAAACTCAGCATTTTTCTCAAAAGAATCCTATGTCTACTGGCTGAATGCTTTCCTCCCTCCCCCTAACCAGGAAAATGCTCAAAAGGCAGAATACTTCTTGGGAGTTTGAGGGAACCGAATGAGATTGCCTTATGACCTATTCTGGCCATTATTGCTATGTAGCCAACTACTCCAAAGCTTAGAGGTTTAAAGCAATCACCATTTTATTATGCCAATGGATCGTGTAGGCCAAGAGAGTTGGATGGGCACAGTGGGGATGTCTGAGGCTGCAGTTGGGAAGACTCAATGTCTGAGACTGGCTTGATAGCTGGGGGTTGGAATCAGTTGAAGGATCTGTCACTTGCATGGCTGGCATCTGGGCTGGGAGGACTTGAAAATCAGGTGTACTGATTGATGAGTCTGGCTAAAGGTTTATCAGTTTTGTTTATCTTTCAAAACAAAAGGTTTTTAGTTTCATTGACCTTTTCTATTGTGTTTCCTTATTGATTGTCTGGATGATCTGTCCATTGATGTAAGTGGGGTGTTAAAGTCCCCCAGTGTTACTGTGTTACTGTCGATTTCTCCTTTTGTGGCTGTTAGCATTTGCCTTATATATTGAGGTACTCCTATGTTGGATGCATATATATCTACAATTGTTATATCTTCTTCTTGGATTGATCATTATGTAGTGTCCTTCTTTGTCTCTTGTAACAGTCTTTATTTTAAAGTCTATTTTGGGGCTTCCCTGGTGGTGCAGTGGTTAGGAACCTTTCTGCCAATGCAGGGACACGGTTTCAAGTCCAGGTTCAAGTCCTGGTCTG